ATGCAGTTAAAACATTAAAAATACTGCTTTACACTGTGTGTAACAGAACCTTCAGAGGTAATGACATCAGCTCCAGCCAGGCACAGAGGAAGACTGTTTCCTTTTAGTTTACCAGCACATTCATTCTTATACCCCTTCACCTGAAATTGCCTGTAACGGTAGATATTAAGTGAATGTTTCTGCTGAATTAAGAAGATTCTATAACTCTCAGTTTGGTCTTTAGCACTTGTATTTACAGAACAGGATGGTTTTCTATTCATTACAGCAAGAATGGCTATTTTCAGAAGATTTCTTGAACAAAGAGTTTCAGTAACACTTAAAAAACCGAAGATGTTTCTGAAGGGGAGTTATACAGTACTGGTACATGCAGCTGTCAGTCTGGATAAATTAGGTAACATGCTTCCCCTAGATAAAGATGGCGAGGCACAACCACCATTTCACAAAGAGTACTTAAGTCAGATGAAGTGTACTCTTATCGCAAGCTTTAAACAGATTAATATATACCACAGCACCTAGCACTCATTAAATTTAGAAAAATATTTTCTTGAATTTTTTTTTAGCCTTTGTTGGTTTTTCTTCTTAAAATCTTTAAAGTGATGCAACAGAAGACAGATGGTGGAAGATGCCAAAGATCACTCTGCTTTTTAATCTGAAAGAATTGTGCTGTCAAAGCTGTTATGCTGTTGACAATGACTTGTTTTGATTAGTTATAGATTTTTTTTTTAAACAATGAAGAGGCAGGAAATGTTTATTTATTTTTTTTTAATTCTGTGATCAAGAGTGACCGAACATTATAGTTATTTAAATCAACCCAATTACATAGTTTCCATTGAGTTAATGGCTGCCAAACAAGCGTGTACTCCAGTGACCCACCATGAGCAATGTTATCTGATGGGCGAGACAGATTTTAAGGTTAGACACAGTACATGTAAAAATAGAAAGTTTAAAAACCAATCGCATCACAGACATTTCCGTTGCCATCTCCTTTGTGAAATAAATAAGGCAGCACATAACTTTTACTTTGCAGTGGCACTTTTCAGGTATGCTATTAAGTCTGCTCTCTCAGACTTCTTCTTAATACCCGCAAAAATCATCTTTGTTCCTGGGATATACTTCTTTGGATTTTCCAAATACTCCATCAGAGTATCCTCACCCCAGGTGATACCTAGAAAGAAGAAAAAAAAGATAGTTCATGACTTAAAAAAAAAAAAAGCAGCACACTTATATTCTTGTCCTCTGTATTATTTCACTTTTTAGCAGACTTCAGTACTTCTAGAACTATTACCAAGAAATTAATGTTTTTGACCCTAGTAACTCATGAGTTTAAGTTTACCTTTATTCTTATTAGCATCCGTGTAAGAGAAACCCTCAGCTTGTCCAGTCTTGCGTCCAAATAGGCCATTCAGGTTGGGTCCAGTCTTGTGCTTGCCTCCCTTTTCAACTGTATGGCACTGGGAACATTTCTGGACAAAGATCTTCTTGCCCTTCTCGATATCTCCCATTTTCACTGCTAGACCAAGAACACACAGAGGTCAGTATCAGAATTTCAAGGTCACCTGTTCAACCAAAACTTCAAAAGTGCCCTGTAGGTTTACAAAAGCGTATATATGTCTCATCAGCCTATCAATTCCCCAGCACACCTTATATCCACAAACTATAGCTCCTGGGTATGAAGATTACCACAGAATCATTAGACTAGGTAAAAGGTGTACAGGTAATAAACATGACTGAGGAGCAGGAAAAACCTTCCTGCAGCTGAAGTAACCGCCCCATGGGATTTAAACAGCGTGGAGATCATTTTTGAAAAATAAGTTAAACGTAACTTCCACATACAGCTTGTTTATCTATGACAGGAAGGTTTCCTACTCATGGATAACCTTCTGTACAGGCACGGGGCCGTCTAAGCAGTTTTCCCCTTCGGCTGGAAAGGCGCACCGGCACACCGCCCTGGAAGGAGCCGAGGGCGGCGGCACAAGGCCAGCGCGACCGGGGACGCCTCTCGAGCACCCGCCAGCGG